CAAATGTGCCTGAGCGAGCGTCAGCAATAGGGATTGGCTAATCGCCGTAGTAGACTGGCATCCTCTGAATTTAAACTGTCCTGGATCGGGTTGGGCTCCATCAGGCTATCTTGTCCAAGACAAACCACACTACATGCGGTGACCCCACGACCCTAGGTTTACGGGATTCAAGGCCAGTCAAGTCTACTTTCGGCTGAAATTCATAAAATATTTCTCTTCTAATAATTTTTCAATATACGGTTCACAAGTCCAGTAACTATTATCGCTCTTTCTAGTAGTGATGGTGGCATCTTGATTATACCGTTATGTTTTCTTTGAGTTACACGTGCTAACAATTTTAGCTTCTCTTGCTTTTGAAAGTCTTCAAGTGATGCAGTTTCTGTTGTTTGATACAATTCTTTGTTTGCGATTATCCTTCTGGGTCACAAATTGCATAAGTTCACTCAGTGGTCTCCCACTGATGATTGAATAAACTCGGGGTTTCTTAAGTGGCCGCTAAAGATCCGATGGGATGTGAGTTATAGAAAATATGGGCGACTTGGCGGGCGTTAAGTAGACCCAATCTGTCAATTTTTATACAAAATCTACACGAAAAAAAAAAATCCGAGTCACGCTTAAGGAAAACGTTTGCTTCACAAAGAACAAAAATCAAAAGATTTACACGAACACAGATTCTTTCCATTAGCCGGAAAATTTGTTTGCATCTTTCTGACATCATCTGAACAGGATACGACACAGGCCAGCTACGCTTGCAGGGAACATTGCTCTATATTCTTCATACGTCTAGTGATAGAGCCTCTGATGTCCGTCTGGTGGTATATTACTTGTTTTGAATATGCAGTAGAAATAAACGATATGCTTCATGTGGGCGTGGCTTAAGGAAGAGTCACGTGAACCAAGCGGGGCGCCAGCATGAAAAGAATTGGGAACCTCCGGCTTAATCCAACTGATGAGTGTCTGTTTACGCATGCGCATTCTTTCTATTCTGTTACCAATCTAAATCAGGGCGGCACACCTGATTCTGGATATATGAAAAGCAGATGGTTCATTTCCGAAATGACCTCATCTTTCACCTTCAATGAGAGACAAAACAATGTGTGAGAAAAATGTCTGTTGGTATCAGATGTGACAACGGTCTTTACCAGATGCTGCAGCCAGAGAGAACAGTTTTCATACTGAAGCTGTTAATGTCTGCTGGATTAGAAATTTAGCCCACTCTGAATAGATCTCACTTTAAAAAGTGTGTTGGTATTTGATGTGTCCTTACCAGATGCTGCAGCCAGAGAGAATAGTTTTCATACTAAAGCTGGTAACGTCTGCAGGATTTGAAATTTACCTCACTCTGAAAAGATCACATTTTATTTTTTTTAATTCTATATTGCTTCGGATTTCTGCTCGGATTTTCTTCTTAGTAAATTATTTTCTTTTTTAAACCGAATGAAATTTCTGTCAAATGCGTTAATTTCATTTCTGGTTCAATTATTCGCTTTAAAATTAACTGATATCGACTGATATAGAAAAAAAAAATAGATTCTTTTATGTGCCAAGTTGTTTCAGGGTGTGTGAGATCATGACGATCCGCAGTTTTCTGCCTTTTTTTACTCTGTGACTTTTACCATACCTCTCTGTCCCTGATCGATCCACATAAACCCGTTAAGTATATCACACGCTGTTTTCCTTTGCTTCTCTTAGCCTTCACGATATCCCGTGAGTTTTAAATTCTCCAGGCCAATTTCCTCATCATATGTACTAGAAACTTCACTTGATTTTTTTTTTTTCTGATTGTGTGTATAACTTTCCTTGAAGATTCTATTTTTTCTAAAACTTCCACGTTACTTTTTTGTTTTGTTCGTTTTATTCTTAGCATTCGCCGGTAGAAGAAAATCAGAACTACTTTGGTGTGCGATCTACGTGTCCTAAACCTACTTTGGTATGGGATCTACATGTTATATGTCCCGATTTGCACCAAGACTATTCCTGTTGACGGTTGATGAGAAAAGAAGCTCCTGAATTTTATTTAGCATTTTTAGCCGAATTACGTACTGTTTATCGCTAGAATATAATTAATAGATTTTTAAAACATTTTAATTACATTTTCAATATGTTATATATCTATCTATCTATTTCTATTTCTCTCTCTCTCTCTCTCTCTCTCTCTATATATATATATATATATATATATATATATATATATATATATATATATATATTATATATATATATTGCACGGTGTAGACATTTATCCGGTGTACATACTGTTTATCGCTAGAATATAAATAAAAGATAACTTTTTAATAGTTTAATTACATTTTATTTATGTTATATATATATATATATATATATATATATATGTGTGTGTGTGTGTGTGTGTGTGTGTGTGTGTGTGTGTTTATTATAGTAAAACAAGGAAGAACAGTAAGATATATAATCTGGTGTTATTATTGATATTTTCATTTTTACAAAACAGTGCACAATGTAAATTTACAGAGCATAAATATTAGAAATTAACTGATTTAAAAATATGGTTTCATCGCTACACAGGAAGTACCAAGTTTCAAAAACAGAAATTAACAATTTCAAATTCAATTACATAATTAAATTAAAAGCACTTGTTCTGTTTCATTTTCAAATGCTTTTAATTTACTTATATAACTGAATTTGAAATTGTTAGTTTCTGTTTTGAAACATGGTAATTCCTGTGTACCGATGGAACCATATTTTTAAATCTGTTAATTTATATATATATATATATATATATATATATATATATATATTTATTTATTTAGGCAGCAATTTTTCATTGATGCATGTTTCATTAAATAATATAGACAAGTTTTGTCTATTTATTTTAAGTAAGTTCCTTTCATATTGTCTGATAAGCTTAATAACATTATCATTGAAAGACGAAAGGAAATCACCATATTGATAAATGTTTAAATCCAATCTAAGCTTTCGGCTTACATAAACCATTATCAAAGATGATAATTACATTTCAATATATCAAACAATACACGGACGAAACAATAATTATAGTTTGTTTTTGTTGCGTGAAAAGCAGCACCAGAGGATCTCTGTAGCCTCAAGTCTATCACTTGCTGTCGGATAGGATGTAAGTTATCCCATAGGAGTCGAGTAAACATTTATTTTTGTTTTTATATCACTATTTCCTTATATTTTAATACGTTGCTTAGTTTCTGGAAGACGCCTTTCTCCCTTTCTAAGAGCATTCAGATTTCTGTTTAACCTAATTCGCCATCTGTTATATAATATACCCAGATAGGCAAAGTTCTACAGTGTGGTCTGAAAGTCTCGTCACCCCTACCAAAAGGTAATGAGAACAATAGAATATCAAGTAATGCAGTAATACAAAGCAATGTACTGGATTCAGTTTATTCTCTTTCATTAACGCTGTCACACATCGAGAAGGTCTGTATGAGCACCATCCTTTTCATGGCACAATATGATGCGGCGCCATTTTCTATGTGATATTTTACGAAGCTGTGCTTTGTTGATTGTTGCTTCAACTGATAAGTATTCTGGCATCACTCATAGATCGTTAGGTAGACTATGCGCTGCTTTTCTCTATCCCTCTTGCTTCCAATGTCATTTTGTTACCATTTTCTCTAAAACTCCATCTTTGCTCACATGCCCAGTCCATATTATTCTCATCATCCTTCTGTAGAGCCACATGTCTATTGCCTCAAGTCTCTTCTTCATATGTGAGGAGATTATCCAGTATTATCCAGGACTGATATTACATAACAGTTTAGTAATATTTTCCTTGTTTCTAACGAAATTTGCCTGCTTTTTATACTGTGATTAGCCTTTGATAGCTTCCTTTGTGCCCGTGTAATTTTGATATCTACAGTTTGTAAGTTTCGTCACTATTTACATTATTCGGACTATTGCTAAATTTTTCGAGGTCTAATTAATGACGTTTTACATTTAACTGTTTATTTATTGTACAGGGTTGTCTGAAAATCTTGTCACCCCCACACTAAAAAATAATGAGAACAATAGAAGAACAAGTAATATATTAATACAAAGCATTGTATTGAATTCAGTTTATTCACTTTCATTGACGCTGTCACACACCGAGAAGGTCTGTGTGAACACTATCCTTTTCGTGGTACAAAATAATGCGGTGCCATGTTCTATGTGATATTTTACGGAACCCTGCTTCCTTGATCGTTGTAAAGGCTCTCCGAATGGTGTCTTTCAAATGATATGTATTCTGGTATTGTTCATGTGAAACTATTTCCTTGATTTTACTCCAGAGTTCATTGTTATATTATGTAGGAGTGACAAGACTTTCGAACCAGCCTGTATATTGGCTGTATTTTGACGTCCCCAGTACGTAAGCGCATTTTGTGTTGTCTCTTTTGCTGACAAACATGCCTTCTGCTTTTTTTTTTTTTTTTTTTTTTTTTTTTCCAATTAACAGTTAGTCCTTTCTTCTTGCTTTCTGCTTTGTTTAAAATATCTTTCAGTTTCCTTTTTGAGTCTGGTCGACATATACAAGTGCATACTGTTAAATCATCTACGAAGGAAAAATAGAAAGCAGTCTATCTATCACAATACTCGATTTTCGACTAGATGAATCAGTTCTTAATAGAAATAACGTTTGGTCATTTAGTTAAAATTTTTGTGGGTTGGGTTGATAACTTTTCAGCACCCCCTTGTCTTTCGAGGGTTCTTTATCGTTTTCATCTTTGATGATTAATTAAGTACCTTTTTTTTTATTATTAAATCAGCCAAAATTTAATTATTCAATAAAATTTAATGAAAATCTCGGACACATCCCTCTTTTTTTTTCATCAAATCTCGGATAAATTGTTCATTGCATTCATTTTGTCGGGTGTGTTTTTCTTGTATAAGACAACCCTTATCTTTAAAATTAATTAAATCCTCTTTGTTCGAGATAAAAAAAAAAAAAAAAGGGAATAATAAAACATTTCCTTGCGTTGTTAACTCACCGAGAACATTTTGGTCCTGAAAAGTTTCTGAACAATCGACCCACCTTCCTTTATTCTTTCCGTCTTGTTTGTTATATATTTTTTTAATTTCTTCTTCTTCTTCTTCTTCTTCTTCTTCTTCTTCTTCTAAGTTCATTTTGTCCACTGTTCTTTTTTTTTCTAGTTTCACTTTCTCTCATTTTCTTTCTTTTGATATTATTTGTTCTTCTTTTAATTCATTCTTACTTTCTTTTTTTTTAAGGTGTTCCTGTTACGAGTTTTCTAATTCTCTCGTTTTCTTTTTTCTTTCTATTCTTTGGCTTTTTCCTTCACTTTCTTCAGAGTATATTTTTCGTATAATTATTTCTTCTTTTTCATCTCTCCTTCCTTAAATTTATTCACTATTTATCTTTCTCTAAGTATCATCTTCCACTTCTAGAGTCATTGTAAATTTCTTCTTCTTCTTCTTTCTTCTTCTTCTTCTTCTTCTTCTTCTTCTTCTGCTGCTGCTGCTGTTTTATTTTTCTCTTCCATTATTAATTATTTCTTCGTCTCCTCCTCTTCCTCCTCCTCCTCCTCCTCCTCCTCATTCTTCTTCTTCTTCTGTTGCTGCTGCTGCTGTTTTATTTTTTCTCCTTCATTATTAATTATTTTCGTCTCCTTCTTCTTCTTCTTCTTCATCTGCTGTTGCTGCTGCTGCTGTTTTATTTTTCTCTTTCATTATTAATTATTTCTTCGTCTCCTTCTTCTTCTTCTGCTGCTGCTGTTTTATTTTTCTCCTTCATTATTAATTATTTCTTCGTCTCCTCCTCCTCCTTCTTCTTTTTCTTCTTCTGTTGCTGCTGCTGCTGTTTTATTTTTCTCCTTCATTATTAATTATTTCTTCGTCTCCTCCTCCTCCTCCTCCTCCTACTTCTTCTTCTGTTGCTGCTGCTGCTGTTTTATTTTTTCTCCTTCATTATTAATTATTTCTTCGTCTCCTTCTTCTTCTTCTTCTTCTTCTTCTTCGTCTCCTTCTTCTTCTTCTTCTGTTGCTGCTGCTGCTGTTTTATTTTTCTCCTTCATTATTAATTATTTCTTCGTCTCCTCCTCCTCCTTCTTCTTCTGTTGCTGCTGCTGTTTTATTTTTCTCCTTCATTATTAATTATTTCTTCGTCTCCTCCTCCTCCTCCTTCTTCTTCTGTTGCTGCTGCTGCTGTTTTATTTTTCTCCTTCATTATTAATTATTTCTTCGTCTCCTCCTCCTCCTCCTTCTTCTTCTGTTGCTGCTGCTGCTGTTTTATTTTTTCTCCTTCATTATTAATTATTTCTTCGTCTCTTTCTTCTTCTTCTTCTTCTTCTGCTGCTGCTGCTGCTACTACTTCATTATTATTTATTTCTTTTTCTTCTTCTCATTCCTCGCCTTGGTACTGTTCTTCCCCTCCCCCTCCCACATTCCAAACGTTATTCTTTTCTGTCTCCCTTCCTTCCTTCTTTCTCTTTTATTTAACTCCTTAATGTCCTTCCCATTGTCTTTATCCAATTTTCACCTTCTTCCTTTCTCATCCCGTTTCTTCCATGTCTTTTTGTCTTTTTTATTTCCTTTTTTCATTCGATTTACCTCCGTTTTGCACCCTAACATCCTTGCTTCCTCTTTTACAGGAAGTTGGCATTACCAGGGCATCGACGTCCAAGATTCTTCTGCGCATGCGCCAGTTATCCTCAAACGGTAAGTACTCATACTTTCATGTTAGCTGCACTTTTGACGCCATTTCGAAGCCGGCGTTTAAGATCCTCCATTATTTCCTCTGTATTGTGCCCTCCTCACTTCCCTGGCCCTTTGCATAAAAAAAAAAGAAGCAAAGCACTACTACAAAGACCTTTTATGTTCTTTACACATAATTCCTCAATAATCTTCCTTTATTCATCCAGTGATTTAATCTATTTCCCCCTTTCGTCTTTTTTATAAATGTGCAATTTTGATGCCAGCCGTTTTATTCCATTGTATCCTGTTTTGGCGCCAGTGACCCATCTTCTAGTTTTTCATGTTATATGATACCCGGAGGGGCGGATTTTACAAGTACACTCAAAGATAATAACGAAAAAAATGGTGGTTAACATCTCAGCGAGTGGTATAAGGATTGAGAACAAGATGACTATACTCTAATTGATGGCAAGGAGAAAATATCTTCTTTCATTTCAGCAACTTAACTTTGGAAAGAAATTTCTGTTTATATATAATCAAAAGGTAAAGGTTTCTCTTCTATTGTGTGCCGTGTCCATTCAGGACGTGGGCGATCACACTTACTATCCTTTGTAGCTCTTAGCTATGTTTGCCTTTTTAGTACCCCGTACCATAAAGTAATGAAAACTATAGAACATCAAGTAATACAGTAATACAAAGTATTGCATTCAGTTTATTCACTTTCATTGGCGCTGTCATACATCGAGAAGGTGTCGACCATTCCCTGTTCTGTCATACATTCGCACAGGCTACTTAGGTAAGTTATTTGCTGTTTTGCTCAGTTTTCTTGCCTTCAGTATGTCCTGTGAGTGTCAAATTTTCCAAATCTTTCTCCTCATCATGTATTTTAGAAATTTCAACTGTCGCTTTTTGATTCTAAATAAATTTTGTCTCTTTGATATCACTCCTATACCCGGCCCCGCCATCGATTCATTCAGATTTCCAGGTAGGTTGCCCGCTGCTTTCCTCTGGCTCTCTTAACTTCATTCTGTCTTGTGAGTATCAAATTTTCTAAGCTCTCTTTCCTCATTAAGTGCCCCTGAAATCTTAACCGTCTCTTTCTGATGCTAAGTATACGGGGCCTTTTTGTTGCCATTGTTTCTAGAATTTGAGTCATTGCACGCGTTTTCGGCCCATGGTATTCTCAGCATCCTTAAATAGAACGATTTTCTGTTGTTCTCCGATTACTAAATTCCTTTTCTATCCGTATGTAAACGGTTTACTGGTATAAGTACGCGCTCATTCTAATATCCTTATGGGGCTTTATTTTCATCACTTCGCCGTAAATCAAGGGTCAGTAAAGCAAACTATTGAGGAATGTAGAAAGTTCCAAATACCCTGAAATTGAGGATTTATTCCACACGAAATAAGGTTTCGCCAGAGTCTTTGGCTCTTCTTCATCTGCGAGGAGATTGTTCAGCATTCACTGCCATAAAGGAGGAATGATATTACATAACATTTCAGTACTCTTTTCTTTGTTTCTCTTGCTTCATGTCTCTTCTTCATCTGCGAGGATATTGTTCAGCATTCACTGCCATATAGGAGGAATGATACCACATAAAATTTCCGTGCTTTTTTGTCCTGTATTTCTAACCATATTTTTCTACTTTTTACTACTTTGATCAGTTTCCGGATAGCATCTTTCGTTATCCCAGTGCACCTTCGGATTTCCGAGTCGCACGTTTTTATCCCCTGATAATACGCTTCTCAAATACTTAACTTGCTGCACTTGATTGATTTTACGTCTCTCTAATTTATAATTTGCATGTTGGATTATTTCTTTTGCGAAAACCATTCAATGTTCCTGCAATTTGATGTTTAGTCCTTTCTTCTCGCTTTCCTTCACTATCTTCTTTAGGATTTATTTTATTTTCCTTTCTTATCAACGCTGTGTCAGCTGCGTATCCTATGTTTTTAAGTTTGTGTCAAACAATAATAAATCCCGTAGTATATATTGAAAAGGTCTGCTGAGAAGACACACATCTTACACCTCTTTTCATTTTTTCAATATTTAGTTATGTGCCATGCGGGATACATGCTTAGGCAATCATGTATATTTCGATACATGACTGACGAGGCAGATTTTTTTTCCCGCAGTAGGTTGCCATTCCTCTCTACCGTAGACTAGTTGGCATCCAAAGCTAAAGAATTCAGTCTGTTCTGCTATTTACCCATAGCTTCTGGGAGAAGAAGATCCATACCTTTCCCAAGGATATTAGCACGTCAGTCAGTAAGTTATGTGCCATGCGTGATACACGCTTAGGCGATCATGTATATTTCGATACATGACTGACGAGGCAGATTTTTCCAACAGTAGGTTGTCATTTCTTTCTGCGGTAGACTAGTTGCCATCCAAGGCTATAGAACCTTGTCTTTCCTGCTATTTACCCATAGCTGGTGGGAGGGGGGAGAAGAAGAGGATTCATACCATTCCCAAGTGTATTAGCACGTAAGTGAATATAATGGCGTCGCCTGGCTTCGGCTGGCTTCGGCTGGCTTCGGCTCTCCGATTTTTTTGAATGGGTGTCCTTCGTAATACCGTCGTTATCCATTTTCCAAATCCTTAATAATCCGCAGTTATCTAATACGTATGCGCAGTTTAAAACTTGATATTTGTAAGTTAAATCAAAGTAAGTTCAGTTATGTGCCATTCGTGATACACGCTTAGGCGATCATGTATATTTCGATACATAACTGACGAAGCATTTTTTTTTCCGGCAGTAGGTTGCCATTTCTTTCTGCGGTAGACTAGTTGCCATCCAAGGCTATAGAACCTTGTCTGTCCTGCTATTTACCCATAGCTGGTGGGAGCGGGGAGAAGAAGAGGATTCATACCATTCCCAAGTGTATTAGCACGTAAGTGAATATAATGGCGTCGCCTGGATTCGGCTGGCTTCGGCTGGCTTCGGCTCGGTCTGTCCTGCTATTTATCCATAGCTACTGGGAGAAGAAGAGGATTCATGTATTTCCCAAGGGTATTAGCAAGTAAGTGAATGTAATGGGTTCGACTGGAATTCGAACTCCTTTCCTATCTGTATGTAAACGGTTTACTGGTATAAGTTATTGGTTATTCTAATATCATTATGGGGCTATATTTTCATTACTTCGACGTAAAGCAAGGGTCATTGAAATGGTCGGGAAAACTATTAAGATTCTTGTAGGAAGTTCCAGACTCGGTAAATATCCTGAAATTGAGGATTTATTACACTCTAAATTAAATTTTGCCAGGGTCTTTGGCTCTAAACTATGACACAATAGTCTCGCAGACAATACGCTAGTGTAGTGAGTTCGATCCTAACCGGCCGCATGATATACAGGGGCGATCTATAGTTTCACCACAGAAAAAAGGGATCAAAGAGTAATAATGCAGTGTATACATGCTGAGATCGGCATTCATAGATCTAATCCCACCCGAGGTATTTACGCTCATTTTCTCCCAAATTTCTTCGCCAGCTGTAAGACTCGGGTGTCTAGAATTGTTGGCAACAAGTCTAGGAGTGAAAAACCTCTAAAGATTTCTGTGCAGTATTACCCCATTACATATTCTTCTGAAAAGCGTGACTTGTTCAACACAAATCTTTAACAATCATAGAGATGGGTAATCTGGCGGAAGTTTTCTAAAAAGAAAATGGACTGTTCGGCCCTAATACGCCGAAATCGATCGGAGAATGCATCACATCGCAAAGTACTGTTATTAAAGATAAAATTTTTTACAGAGAATATATTAACAGATAAGTAATATATATATATATATATATATATATATATATATATATATATAAAAAAGAGAGAAGAAACAGATAAAATTCTTACCCACCGAATATATTAACTGATATATATATATATATATATATATATATATATATATATATATATATATATATATATATATATATATATATATATATATATATATATATATATATTCATACAAAAAAAAATATAGAGGTTAATGATTTAAATTAACCTCTATATTTGTTTTTTGTATGAATGATTCATGTAATTATAAATTAAAGCTGCACCTATAAACGAAACGATATATATATATATATATATATATATATATATATATATATATATATATATATACGAATGAGAGAAAAAACAGTTGGAGTAAAATCGACTGTTCGTAGCATTTTCTTATATAAAATGTTTTTATTATAATCTCTTATAATAAAATATAATATATATGTATATATATATATATATATATATATATATATATATATATATATATAGATAGATAGATACATAGATAGATAGATAGATAGATAGATAGATAGATAGATAGATATGACCATTATTTTTTTTTTTTAAAGTGAAAGAAAATTATTAACTCAGAACCTGTTATTTAAAATAAATAAACAAATACATAAATGGTATTTGTCAAATGAAAATAATGATAAATTATAAATAAATTAAAAAAAAAAACGATATATATATATATATAAACATATAAATCATCAAATATGGTAACATTTACGCAATTTCACTTATTAAGCATTAGCTTATATCACTTAGCGTCTTTCATAATTTGCTTTTACGTACACAGTTTAAAGAATATTTTAGTTAATGGTATTTTCCTCCACTTTATTTTTGCTTATAAGCGGCACAGTGGAGTAATGATAAGCGATTTGGATTAAGGAATCGGAAAGCCGAATTCGAATTCCAATCGAATCCATTACATTCACTTACGTGATAATAAAAAGGTAAGAATCCTATTTTTCTCCTTGGGTGGCAACTTGTCTAGGAGGAGGACAAGTCTGACTTCAGAAACCTGATCCTTCCGTAGGTGCAGTAGGTTAACAACCTACTCAATAAAAAAAACTGGCTCCTTACTGAAACCGCAACGTTATTTTGTGACCCTTTGTTCCTTAAGGAATTTAAAACATCAGTTCATAAATACTTATAAATAATTTCATTTAGTTTAATAAAGTCCCAAAGAGGACGAAACGCATCGGTACAGAAAAGCTTGACTTTATTCATATTGCCCTTTTTTAGATATATATTTTATTTTTATCTGAATTAAAAAAAAAAAAAAACACATTTTTTTATCGCGTTCACCCATGCAAGGCAGTTAAGCCACTAAGGCACATGAGATTAC